TTGTGTAGTTACAAAAAAACGAACGTGCATTTAAAGATTGGTTTGATAAAGAATCATCAGATTTCTCATCATTACCTGAAACATATGAAAATTTAAATGTTTTTCATCGATTTTTATTTGCTCGATGTATATCACCAGATCGAACAATATCCGAAGCACGACATTATATTCAAGATAGTCTTGGAATAAAATATTCAGAAATTCCAGTACTTAGTCTTGAATTAATATGGGAAGAAAGTGATTGTAAAACATCATTACTTGGTTTACTATCATCTGGTGCTGATCCAACATCAAATATACAAGCATTAGCCAAAAAGAAAAATATTGATTTATTTATTGTATCAATGGGACAAGGACAAGAAATACTTGCACGACGTTATCTTCAACAAACAATTACATTAGGAGGATGGCTTTTATTACAAAATGCACATTTAGGTTTAGATTATCTTGAAGAATTTTATGAAAGTAAATTTTTTATTTTTATTTTCTAATGTAATATTAATCATCGTATTGAAGCTCTTATTGCAACGGATACATTTGATCCATCATTTCGTGTGTATGTATTATTCTTTTAATCTTGATAACAACAAAAAAAAAAAATGCTTATTTTTTTAGTTGGTTGACAACTGAAACTCATTCAGAATTTCCAATTCAAATTCTTCAATCATCAATTAAATTTACTAATGAACCACCACAAGGTGTACGAGCTGGTCTTAAACGTACTTATGGATTAATTAATCAAGATAAACTTGAATATATTGAAACAATCTATTGGCGTCCATTATTATATGCTACTTCATTTCTTCATAGTATCGTACAAGTATATACTATCCAAAAAAAAAATGATAAAATTTTTTCTTTTAAAAAATAATATTTTTTTTTGCTATTAGGAACGTCGAAAATTTGGACCATTAGGATGGAATATTCCATATGGTAAATAATTCTTACTTATATATATTGAAGTTTATTTTAAAATATATTTAAATTGATAGAATTTAATCAAACTGATTGGGAAGCATCTGTACAATATATTCAAAATCATTTAGATGATATGAATCCAAAATTAGTATGAAGATTATTTTTTTTTAAATATTTAAAAAAAGAATTTCTTATTATTAAAGAATATATCATGGAAAGCTCTTCGTTATATGATATCAGAAATTCAATATGGTGGTAGAATAACTGATGATCGTGATCGTCGTTTAATGATTACTTATGCTAAAGTATATAATTTATTTTTATTAATCTATTTGAAAGTTTCTTTTTTTCTGTTCATAGAAATGGTTTAATGATTTATTATTTTCATCGGATTTTAAATTTTATGATGGTTATTCAATACCAAAAGTAAAACGTCTTGATGAATATATTGATTATATTGATAAATTTTCATTAATTGATCCACCACAAATATTTGGTCTTCATGCAAATGCTGATATAACATATTCAACAAATCGAGCTAAGTCTATGCTTGAAAAAATTGTTTATATACAACCAAAAGAAGCAAGTTCAAATATATCTGGTGGTGAAACACGAGATAAAATTGTTCATAATCTTGCAAATGATATGTTAATAAAATTACCAAAGAATTTTATACAACATGAAGTAAATTGTTTTTTTTGAGAAGAAATTTTTTGTAAATTTATATATATTTTTGTTTTCTAATAGGTACGAGAGAAATTACAAAATATGGGTATATTAAATCCCATGGTTATATTTTTACGTCAAGAAATTCATCGAATTGATCGTATTATACGTATTGTACGAAATTCTTTAAATGATTTACAATTAGCTATTGATGGTATAATTATATTAAATGATGTAAGATGAGAATTTTTAAAGATATAATTAAAAAAAAATACGAAGAATTGTAGTCTCTAAGACAAATACTTGATTCGATTTATGATGGTCGTGTTCCTATTGATTGGGTTAGTTTAATTCATTATGGGTCGATTGTTATTCATTTCTTCTTTTTTTTTTTTTTTTAGACAAGATATTCATGGGAAAGTAGTACTCTTGGTTTTTGGTTTTCTGAATTACTTGATCGATATACTCAATATAATAATTGGTTAAATTATGGTACATATTAAAAACAAAAATATTTTTTTAATTCTCATTCTTTTAATGATAGGTCGACCTAAATGCTTTTGGATGACGGGTTTCTTTAATCCAAACGGTAATAAATAACTTTTACATAAAGATAAATTAACTTTCTATAAAAGAAAACCATATAAAAATTTGTATTACAAAGGGAAATCGTATAAATTCAAAGAAAATCTATTATTAATTTTTACATGAAACATAATATTCAATGAGATTTAGAAGAAATACTGGTCAAAACATTACTATGAGATGGATATCAAAAGACTCTGAAAGGATCCGAGACCATTCAACGAGCGCTACACTAAAAGTATAACTTAATATTTCATGAGATCATTGTCAAGAATATTTGAGAAATATGTATGTAGGATGTGTTAGCCCTTTAAAACAAATAGTTGAAAAAAAACAATCTCAAATCTTCAGAGCGATTTTCAAATGCGGTATAAAAAGTTCCACTAACGAGAGAAGTACCCCAACTGTCAAATCGCTTTCGAGTCGGGAGTGTGTGCATAATATTGGTCCTAATGAGTTATGAATACCCTGAAAAGGATTCGTGCTGCTAGCTAATTGCGGCCGCGATATTGCATTTTTACGGTATTTTTAAATAGAAAGCCGTAGTGCCCCTCAGGAACACAAGGAAAACTGATTTTCGAATTTCGACGCGAANGAGACAAATCGGTCATCCGACGAATGTCGCCATATAAAAATTTGCGTGGCAAACATTTTCTATAAACGCTTGAATTCAATTACCTACTGTTCAACCGTAGGACTTAGGAGCGTATACACCTCAAATTTCACCTCTTCGCCTTTATTTAGCCTCAGAAAGTTGTTTTTCCTATAGCATGATTTCTATTGGTCAATACTCAACCAATGGGGCTTCGAGCCAAGTTTAATGCAGATTCTAGTTCTCCGCCCCAGAAAACCTTCGATTATCATCTCTATGGTCGAAAGATAGAGATCGAATTGGTGATCAATTAGAGCGTGCAGAAAAACAGAACCGATTCTTCCCTATTTATTTTTGCGATGGGTGAGATAGTCTTTCTGTTTTCTCATGTTTTATATATCATTCTGTAGCTCTTGAAATTCTCTATCGAATGGTATATAATAGTTGGAGTTTTAATTGACTATGATAGGAAAAGCCTTTTACGAAAGCGACGATGAGTCGATTTTTCCATAGGAAGCTATAGGGAAAAATGGGTATTTTTGCAATAACTCAGGAACGGCTCAGCCGATCCTTCTCATCGTTCTTCTCTCGACCGAGATATTGTAAAGACTGAACTGTATAGAAAATTTCATCGTGCTCGGACTCTCTTTTCGAAAGTTATCGTGTAAACGACCGGCCGGACGGACATACTGACCGATTCTAGAGTCTATGAACTTTTTGAGTACACAAAAAGCAGCACGTCATCAAGCCCGTTCTCAGTCAAATCCATGAATTCTAAAGAAGAATACATTCTTATTGAATTCAATATTAGGGAATAAGAACGTATTATGTTGATATGACATACATATATATATATATTTCCATTGATTTCTTCTATTGAATAGTAAAACTAGATGTCTCTATCCTATTCTTATTGAATATCATTTAAAAACCATACACCACCAATTTCATATTTTGATGTTGTTTAATTGTACATATTTTTCCTGACATCGGATAATAATGGTTAATATTTTATGACCAAATCTACTTTCATTAGTTGCAAATTATCTTGAGAAAACTCCATGAAAATTTACCAAAAGAATAGTTTTAATTAATTTAAGCACACGATTATCATTTTAATTTTAGCTTAGATATATAAATGTATTCGATAATTTTCTTTCTATTATTAAAACCTAAAAACTATAACTATTGATGTGTTCTTCCTTTGTGCACGAAAAGAATAAATGCATTATCTTTTCGACATGAAGGAAAAATTATACTAAGAAATATGAATTTCATATAATATTTTTTTTTTGAAGGTCTCTTACGGCGATTTTTGGTTTGGCCAGCAGAAATTATTTGGCCACAAAATTTACCATTAATCTCTATGTTGCGTACTTTACACGAACATAAATCAACTAATACAGACGAATATAATAATAGTGGTACACGGAATCGTAATTAGAGAAATGTTTTAATTCACAATAAACTACTCTTGTTCACTTTTATTGTTCTCTTGACATTTATTTACGAATGGTTTCCTCTATATTTAATACCTGTATTATCTGTTTTCTCCTGGATCTGTATGATGAATCGTAAGAATTATCTTCTCGCTCAATTAACTGCCGTTCGAGGTCTTGCATTAGGTGGTGGTGGACTTACACTAGACTGGTCAAAAATAACAATGTACCTTGGATCACCACTCATTGTACCAAGCTGGGCATTAATCAATATTGCATTTGGTTTTATTCTGATTATCTGGTTGATTGTACCCATTGTCTATGGAACGAATGTGCGCAATGTGCAAGCTCAACCAATCGGTGGAATTATATTTCCAGAATTGACATCAATGCATCTTGTTACAATGTTTACTTCATTTGCTTGCCTTCCAGCCGTTTTCGTACACACATTTCTGTTTCACATGTCCGATCTCTGGAACCAATTTCGTTCGAAAGCTCTTTACAACATGGGCAATGATGTGCATACACGACTTATATCACTCTATAGAAATGTTCCTGACTGGTGGTTTTGTCTAGTCTTTACAGTTTCCTTAATTGTAATTTGTGTAATTTGTAATCATACAGGTTGGTTGAAATGGTATTTAGTACTTTTGTCTCTTTTCATTTATATATTATTGGTACTTCCTTTTGGACTTGTTGCATCAATAACAGGACAATTTCTACAAAATGCACCTGTCTATTATTTTGGCGTGATTATTTCTCAAGGTTTATCTTTAGGTAAAGAATCAAAACAAAGCTATATATTTCTCACAGTCGGTTATGTTCTATTTATTCAAACACTCGCTCTAGTACAAGACATGAAATTAGGTCGCTATCTTAAAATTGGTCATCTTCCACTCTTTGTTGCTCAGTGTCTAGCAGGATTTATTTGCTCTTCAATCAATGTTGGTATTCAATATATATATTTTAAAATATACGGGTTTAATAATGAATACAACTCAAATATTTCAATATTTGATTACACATTGCTAGGTAGAAGTTTATTTAAAAATGTTAATGGATTCTTATCTGATGCTAATGAAACAAATCGCTATTTACTTTGGGCTTTTCTGGGAGGTGCAGTACTACCAATTCCTGGTTGGCTTTTATCACGCTGGACACGCTTTAATTGTCTAAAACATTTGCATTGGCCTCTCATTTTAGTCACGATTAGTTGGATACCTGCTCTGTTGTCAGCAGGTGCGCTTTTCACATGGATCCTAATTGGACTTACTGTATATTTTACTATTGGAAAATATACCTGGACTAAACGATACATATATTTAGCATCTGGTGCACTAGATGTAGGCGTCAATATGACACAAATTTTTGTAAATACATTATTCATCAATCAAAAACATTCATTTCCAGTATGGGGACGTGCAAAACTCAATAACGAATGGGATAGTTGTACACTTGCTCTGTCAGGAAAAAATTGAGCAACGCAATATATACATACTTCATTATGAACAATGATTAACTGAAATTGAATCATATAATACTTGACTATTCTTTTTAATGAACATTGTTTGCGACATTAGCACATTTCGTCGCCAAAAATTTTTTTTTCTTCTGTTAATTGCTATTTACCTGTTGCAACTTTTTTAATTAATTCTTTTTTTTTTCTATAACGAATCAGAACAGAATAAAATATATAAAAAATTGCAATGATGGATAAATAATTGTTCTAAGACATATGACTTTAATATAGAAGACGGATCAATAAAAAAAGTATTACTAAAATATAATCGTGATAGACTTAAAATGAAGTTAGAATGATTAGATTTGTCACTCAGCTAAGGAATTTCAACATAAGCCAAACCAAAAATAACACTGATTCGATATTCTTAAGTATGAGACCAGATCAAAGCAAAAAACAAATACATTTCATTTCATCGATGAGAAGCTAGCAAAACACGAACAATTACCACGACGCTCTCCAAAACTTCATTGGTCAAAATATCCACCAACCAAAATAATTCTCCATCGTAAAACGATTCTGAAAGTCATACTCATCGACATGGGGCACACTTAGCAAAGCACAAAAGGACAGATTACCACAAGAAAAGAAAACAAAACGGATGAAAGCATTATGTCGATAGAGAATTTAATTCTCTACAAGATGATATATTCATCTTTGAGAGAATCGATTTGAAAACGGGTGTTGGTATGGGTCTTGTTTCCATCTACAATCACATTCTTCGTGACACGCGTTGATAGTTAACTTGAAATAGCCTTAATATACTGTTGGAGTACGAAATTTTCGGTTTTTATCCCTTGGATAGTACTCTTTAGCTAATTATATGAATATTGTCTTTGATGAATTCTTAAACAAAGCTGTCTCTTTCATCATATGGAAAATTAGATGTTGTACACGTTATCATCAAATATCAACGGGCATTCATGTCCATTACAAAATAAGAGGCGAATGGGTATTTTTTGAATAACTCTTGATAGAAACAAGATAGAAAGCTGTGGTTTTCACCATTAAAAACAAGCTGACTCAGCGCATCGATTCATATAAAATTGTTTGGATTTATCTCATAAATAAATAGTGATTTATGGTCAATTTGGAAGAGTAGACTATTGCTCTGTGATGATACAACAAATATTAAATTTTGAGGAATGGATTAGAGTCGTCATTATATTTATGACTTGATACAAAGTTTTACAGCTTTCAGAGTTCTTGGCATTAATTTCAACAATTCTAATCCACTTTGCCAGCAATTTCTGCAAAAAAAACTCATACCTGTTTTTAAGCCATTTCTTTGTTCAAATTGTTTTACATAGTTCGATGTGGTTTCATCTGCTTTTTCCAATGGTGAAAACCGCAACTCTCTACCATTTTCCTATCAAAAGTTGTTCAAAAAATACTCACTCACCTTTTATTTTGAAATATACAATACATCAGATCATTTCTTACAATCTATATTTGTCTGTCTTTGATTCTTTTTTTTAATGTTAGTATCAGATATAAGTAGTTCACATAGTGAGGTACATATTAGTAAAAATGTTCGACCACCAGCATATGAAATGTCTTTATTTATCAAAATAAAAAATGAAACAGAATAATTTATTTTTTATCTCCTATAGCATAGATTAATACCAGTAAAATCTTATCCTGGTAAATTACACAAAGAAACCAACTTAACAAATGATATTTGATTAGATTGTAAATTTTTTAATATAGAACTAAATAAGTTCTTCATTGAAATTTATAGTACTGTTTTCATTTTATTCTTGATAATTCAGTTAATTGTTCAAATCTTCTTTCAAGTTATATTCATTTTAATCAAAATGATTCATTTAAACAAGATTCTTTTTTATCATGTTCATCTCTTTGTTTATGTGTAATTCATGATGGTTTGCTTGAAATTGGTCGAAAAAAAATTGTCGATGAAAAAAATATCGAAAAATAAATGTCGAGAAAAAAACCGAAGCGATTTTGACCGACAAAAAAATGTCGAAAATCTAAAGATGCCGTCTGTTATAGTATATTCTTACAACATACATCGGGATCCTATTCTTTTTCTTTTCTTCTATAATTTAGGTTTTCATGGTCGAATTTGGTCATTTATTAAATGTCTGATGAATGAGGAAATTTGCTTTCAACATTTATATACTTGCACTAAGACAGGTGTTCAAAAACGGTCTAAATTGATTGCAGCTGATGCAGGTCAAATACGAATAGATACATTGAATAAACGATACGAAAATAAACAAATAGATGTTGAAGAATTATTAGCTGATTTAGCTTTAGTGATTGTATAAACAAACAAGTAACGTTCGTCGGTTCGACTCACTTGACCCTCGACTGTTTAAGGCAAGTACATTGTGCATGTGAGTATCGAAAGAATTGGTCTACTAGCCTCGTCACCATAACTGACTCATACTTTGATTTCTTGAATGGTACAAGTCGAAGAAACTGATCGGCCTCTTGGAAAACAAGCCTCATCCGTGGAAACCTTGTTATAAAACAGCTCATTCAGGAAGAACTTATCGCATACGTTGGATTAATCGAATATTCAGTTTGAAAAATAAAAATGATGAAAAGCCCAATATTAAAAACCCGAGCACCGAAAACTTAGCCAAGGTTTTTTAATGACGTTTCATCGTTCACTTTCACTCTAAGAGACAAAAACTTATTTTATTTCATATAACTCTTCCTACACGTAAGCAAATATTATTATTTTCTCAAAAGAACTTTTTCCTGAACCCAAAACAATGAATTCAAAATATTCAGAAACTGACTTCAGATTCGGATTCCCCGACCCCGATTTGCTTTCGTCAACCTTGAAAGAAAATTTTCTAAGGTGGATGTTTTTTTGGCCTTTGACCCTGACACAAACATACATACACACAAACTATTTTTTTTCATATGACCCTCCCTACAGTCGAGGGAATAAACTTATGTATTAACATGAATTTTTCTTTTTTATTAAGTTGTTATTTTTCATAGTTAATAATCGTTTTTAAAAATCTATGATTCACTTCGTTGAAAAAAATAAATAAAACTTTTACCTTTTTGATGGATCACTTTTATATGAATATCTTTCGACATTTCCAGATCATCGATATTTTTTAGTTCGACATTTTATTTTTCGACCAATTTTATACATACTTTCATGATTATGGTACAATAAAAATATTTGACGAAGGATACATTAAATGATTGAAAGATGATCTTCTCATCAATCTATATCAAATACAACGATTAGAGTATTTCACACAAGATGATACAGGATTTCTTTACGTAGATGATGGACTATTATTTAAATATCTTTGAGTAAAACTATCAGAAAAATCTTTGTTTTAACAATAATTTTCAATGAAAACGTCTTAAAAACTAAAATAGAAAATATTCGAGAAAAATATATTGATTGGAAAGAATTTAGATGAAAATGGTAAAATTCAATAGTGTGCTGGAAAAATGTCGAAAAGTAAATTTTCAAGTGAAAGAATACCGAAACAGAAAAATGTCGGAAAAAGTAATGTCTTCAGAAGATGGTAGCTCTAATTACGTCTACCAGAGCTGTGCATCGCTCGCGCGGGCGCGGACTGCGGGTGCGGAGGGGTCGCATCGCTCGTGCGGTCCGTCCGTCCCGCTCTGAGACGTAAAATTTATATGGATGCGGCCGCACCGCTTTTGAATTTTGCGAACGGAGCGGGTGCGGGACGACCGTCCACGTCTCATTTGACCGCTCTAGCGGCCGCATGATTTTAATTTGACCGTCTTGCGAGAGAATACCTCCTGAAATTGAAATCAACAAATCTAAGATGCCATTAATAGCGTATGGGTGTGGATGGTGTTCTAGATTAGCGTAATACCATATTCACACCCTTGTCGTAAAAATTTATTGCCATCTCTATGGGATGACATACTAGTCGTTTGATTGGAATTGCGTAACGGAACTGAAAAGTATGATGAGTGATATAACGGGTGTCCCAGGAAAAATGAACCTCTCAATATTTTTAAGATTTCTTGTCTATTATCCCTGTAATTAAAGCTCTTTTTATTACCAAAAGATAGCGCTTGAAATTCTCTACCAA